TATTTCCCAATAGAACAGCGCTGTTTCGTGAGACACTCTATAATACTTGCATTAGAAAATACACTAAATTAGGCGGAAATATCAAACTAAAGCAACGTTACCAGGATGATAACTGTCTGTTCTTCTCGGATTTTTTTTATTTTCTGTTATAAAAAGCAGTGTACTAAATAATGGGAGCAAGCTACAATCCTAGGAACATAACAAGCAGAAAGTGAAAAAGAACAGAAAATTGTAGGCTGTTGGATCCATCATGGAGAAGTATAGAAAATCTTAAAAAATAAGGAGTCCCGGGCGTTTATTGATTTCGACGATGGCTGTATAGTAACCAAAGAAGAGAAAGATTTGGATTATCTAGTGTGGATGAAATTACAATAAAGATAAAAAAGTACAACACAATTTAAAAATAAATATCTGAGTGGGAAAATCTCTGAAGATTCTTAACATTGTACTTATTAGCTGTTGATATCTGATTGTTCAGAGGCAAGAAATAGGTTGTTTTGAGGAAGATTTAGAAGAAGATATATTCCTACGCTTGGTCCAGTGATGATTACTACTATAATGTGATAATAATAGTTGAAAAACTGCAAAAGATCGCTATACATGACGAGTATCTCAATAAATGGTGACCGTTTCCATTTCTTGTGCTGGACCTGTTCAAGCCCGTGGTTGAGAAGATCAAATTTCTGATTAAACGATGTATGGTTGTTATACCAACAAGTTTTAGGTATCTTACTTCTAAAGAATCAAACAAGTTACATTTATATATTTTACTGGCATAGGAGTATTAACATTGCAAAGTCAACAGCAAGAGTGTAAATTATTATAAACTTGAAAATCCCTAAGGGACTAGATAGAGAATGCTATATTAAAAATATAATGATTGATGTGAAGCTTGAAAAAGGTGTTCACACCATAATAATTCATGTTCGTTTCTACTTCATTGATGTCCTTCTAACTTTCTTCAGACCTGTTGTTGTAATCCTTCTGCGCGTCTACTATAGCTTCATCGATCTTGTCTTCAATCAATTTATTTTTAATTCCTCTTTAAATAATACGTCTATTTTTCTAGCTCCTCTATTAAATTACCGTCAAGTTTTCTAATTTTCTTTCTCTTTCTTCCTGACTTCGTCTTAATAATTTCACAATCTCAAGTAACGCTTCACTCTCACTTTTTGACCTCGTGGTGGCCATCCTCAATATTGAAATTTAGCCAAAGTTCTATTTTATTTTAATCCAATAATACCCCACGTCTGACACCAACGTTGTTCTTTCGTTGGTGGGTTCTTTGAAACTATCAGGTGAGAATAATTCAGTGTTCGGACCACATGATGAGAACAAATTACTTTGTTGAACACTTGTAGCACAAACAGGATCACAAGGTGGAGTGAATAGATGGAAGTGTGAGAAATAAAATAACAAGATCACAAGGTGGAGTGAATAGATGGAAGTGTGAAATAACACAACAGCATCACAAGGTGGAGTCAGTAGGTGGGAGTGTGAGAAATAACATGACAGGTTCACAAAGTGGGTGAATAGATGGGAGTGTGAGAAATAACATGACAGGATCACAAAGTGGGGTGAATAGATGGGAGTGTGAGAAATAACGCAACAGGATCACAAGGGGGAGTGAATAGATGGGAGTGTGAGAAATAACATCAGAGGATCACAAAGTACACTGAATAGGTGGGAGCGTGAGAAATAACACAACAGGATCACAAAGTGGAGTAAATAGATGAGAGTGTGGGAAATAACAGGATCACAAGGTGGAGTGAATGGATGGGAGTGTGAGAAATAACAGAACAGGATCACAAGGTGGAATCAATAGATGGGAGTGTGAGAAATAACATGGCAGGATCACAAGGTGGAGTGAATAGATGGGAGTGTGAGAAATAACAGAACAGGATCACAAGGTGGAATCAATAGATGGGAATGTGAGAAATAACATGGCAGGATCACAAGGTGGATTGAATAGATGGGAGTGTGAGAAATAATGCAACTGGATCACAAGGTGGAGTGAATAGATGGGAGTGTGAGAAATAAAATAACAGGATCACAAGGTGGAGTGAATAGATGAAAGTGTGAAAAATAAAATAACAGGATCACAAAGTGGAGTGAATAGATGAGAGTGTGGAAAATAACAGGATCACAAAGTGGAGTGAATAGATCACAAGGTGGAATCAATAGATGGGAGTGTGAGAAATCACATGGCAGGATCACAAAGTGGAGTGAATAGATCACAAGGTGGAGTCAATAGGTGGGAGTGTGAGAAATAACACAATAGGATCACAAGGTGGAATAAATAAAGTTGAAAAATGTTGAAAATAATATCAGAAACTAATAATTATTTGGGCTTCAGTCAAACCCCCAAACTAAGCATGTTTATAACATAATGCCCATTTATATGCCTCTGAAATAGACCCATGTATAACCAACTAATTCATCTGTATTTTACAACTATGAGTAGTGTTACAGTATCAGATAAATTATGTTTAAACTTCTTTAGTAAGGATAAGTTTCTTTTGGAGAGAAAAACTCAGTGAACAACATGCTGTGCAAAAAACAAGGAATATTTATTAAAATAATCTCAAAAAAAGATTACATAACAAACAAATATGAATTACTACTAATCACTGTGGAAAACAAGATTTTAAAATCTGTTGCAATTCTTTATGTTTTAAACAAATATCAAGTGCACAATTACTGACATAAAAAGCCACATGTGGAAAATTAAAAGAATATTTTACAAGATATGTTGATTCCACCCTTATTTACCAGGTACTTGCTGTCTATCACATCAAAATAACATTCTAAATGAAGTACTAGGAAGAAAATAACACATAATCTAACTAATCTTAACTCCCAGTTGCTTGCTGTCTGTCACATCAAAACAACATTCTAAATGAAGTACTAGGAAGAAAATAACACATAATCTAACTAATCTAAACTCTAATATCTACACTATATATTTCATATCTTCTAATAGTAACATATTTCATAATTAGCTTCTAATAATTAACAATTTTACAATAAGTACAGTACATGACTTGAAAATCTCAATAAACAGCTCAGATATTACATAAACTAGGATGTTCACGTGCTCAGATATTACATAAACTAGGACGTTCACGTGCTCAGATATTACATAAACTAGGACGTTCACGTGCTCAGATATTACATAAACTAGGACGTTCACGTGCTCAGATATTACATAAACTAGGTTAATTAATAATGGAATGTGAAAGATCACAAATATACATTCTCAACTATAAAAGTTGAAAAACAAACTCTCATAAAATCTTTTATCACAAACTTTTTCATAAAACATTTTTCTAATCTCAAAACATGCTTTGAAAGACAGCAAATTTATACATTATGAAAAAACCTGTTCGTAACGTACGACACCAAAGACAAACCAAATTAACCTTATAAATAACCTTTTCTGAAATCTTCCAACACACAAATTCCATACTATTTATTTACTTTCTGACACTGTAACATAATGTTTCTTACATTACATTATACAGATATAGAGAGAAGATCACAGTCTTTGAACAACAAACCTCTGACAGTTCTCAACATACGATCTTTCATAACAAAGAAGCACAATCTCAGGTACTCCAATTAAAGGACATGCTTTGAAACATCTTTAGTATCAACCATACTCTGATCTTCATCTAACTTGAATTAATGTAATGTTATTACAAATAACCATCAGCCAGGTGGTGAAATATCATTAATAACCATCAGCCAGGTGGTGAAATATCATTAATTACCATTAGCCAGGTGGTGAAAAATGAATAAAAAAACATAGTCATAACCAAATCCTTCAACAAGAGTGTAAGCAACTGTAATCCCCTTTTCCAATATTCATCTATGTTTTTTCACTTCTAAAATTATTATTTTATGTTAGAAATAAAGAAGTAAATGCTAGAATTACCTGTACCTTAAATTGTTCAGTTTCACACTGAATGTGGTCTACAAATGAAATAAATGCTAGAATTACCTGTACCTTAAATTATTCAGTTTCACACTGAATATGCTCCACAGATGAAATAAATGCTAGAATTACCTGTACCTTAAATTGTATAGTGCTCACAGTAGCAGTAGAGGTCAACCAACATTGTATAAAGCTGTATGATACTAGAAGGTAAATCTTTTAAAATACTAACAATTGTTTCTTGTTTTTAATCACAAATTTAAACAACGGGATATTTTTGCTGTGTCCACTGTATGGATCAAACCCTTTTTTTTATTGTTATAAGACCTCAAGCTCACCATTAAAGGGGTAGAAATGTTTTAAAAAAATATTCTGATAAAGAAAGCCCATTGAACATATAACCAAAATACTTGATACTATAAAATATTAGGGCATACGATTTTCTCCGAATACCATTTTCACAAGTTAGTGCATTAGATTTTCCATGGATACCATTTTTGTTATTCAGAGAATTTTCTCTAGATACCATTTTTACTTATTAGAGCATGTATTTTTCTCTGGATAACATTTTTAATTATTGGAGCACAGATTTTTTCTCTGGATATCATTTTTACTTATTAGTGCACAGATTTTTCTCTGGATATCATTTTTACTTATTAGTATGTGGAATGCCATCTTTATTTATTAGTGTCTGAAATTTTCTGGACATAATTTTTGCTTATTAGTGCATGGAATTTCCCTTAGATACCATTTTTGCTTATTAGTGCATGGAATTACCCTTAGATACCATTTTTACTTATTAGTGCATGGAATTACCCTTAGATACCATTTTTACTTATTAGTGCATTAATTCCATGCACTAATAAGTAAAAATGGTAGCTAAGGGAAATTCCATGCACTAATAAGCAAAAATGGTATCTAAGGGTAATTCCCCCTTAGATACCATTTTTACTTATTAGTGCATAGAATTACCCTTAGATACCATTTTTACTTATTGGTACATGGAATCTTCTCTAGATTAGTGTATGAAATTTTTCGTGGATACCATTTTTGTGATTAGTTCAAGAAATTTTCTATAATTACCTATTTTACTTGTATTTGGTTTTTACACAGACATCGTCCATTTCTTGAACACTTAAGTAGATAAGTGTCATAAAAAGTTTTAATGTATTTCGACACTCATCTTGTGTGTATGTGTGTGCTCCTTTATTACTATTATAACTAAATTACTCATGGATTCTTTACTCCTTAAATATGTCACATTTTTTTAAAAATCTAGTAAGACAGTAAATAATAAAATTCTTCATATAACTACTATCATATAGATCAGTTCTTTACGGAGATTTTTTATTTCATTACACAATGCAGACATGAGAAATCTTCACATTTCTATTTACACACACTGTAGTTGACATCCAAACTACTCATGAATACAAGGCTTTTGTACTATAATTCTTGAAACTTGTTTTCCACAAAGTAACACAGTTCTTCTTAAGATACAGTGAAGTTTCATAATAATAAAGTAGAATAACATTTGATACATTTACAATTGTCACATTAAATATCACGTTCAGTACACTTTTTCTAAATCTAGCTCAGTGCCCCTAGGAAAGGGAAAACATTGGTCCAGTTTATATTTAGAGATCTCTTAAACTAAAATGGAAATATTAAATATAAAATAAATACACTACAAAAAAGGGAATATAAGTGATTTTAACTATACACTATATGTGAAACAATCTAACTTGTTTTTACAAATAAAAAGATGAGCTGCCTAAGGTATGGTTACAGGAAAGGAATTTCAGAAGATGTCTATCTGTAAACCTTACTTTCGCTGACGTATTTCCTTGCCTTCTCCGTGGTCAGGAAGGTTTTTGCTGAAAATACACAAAAGTTCCATACATTAACAAAAAATTCCAAATCCACATGAAAATACCTTATTTACAAGAATAACAAGGTTTAGTGATTTGTGAAAATCTATATCTCAGATCGGGAGGTCCAATGGAGATCTTCGCACACATCATTCCAGTAGTGGGCTCTGAAAACAGCTAATAAGTACATATTCACAACTCTAATAAGGCTTAGCAATTTGTGAAGATCTTTCAAGACTCATTTTGGAGTTCCAAAATTTTGATGAACAATGAAAGGATTAATATGAAATTCAACATACAACATAAACCAGTCCCAGTAAATAGTTATTTGAAAACTGTTCACAATTTTCTTTATCATAAAAAGACACTTGAATTTAATGTTTGGCATTCTCATTATATTTAAATGCAAATTATAAAGTTAATAATATTTGTATCATTTCAAGAAATCATAAGGTTATTATGTTAGGTCTAATAAAATGGTATACTTGTTTACGTCATGCTGATACAATAGTAAGTTGTCAAACAATGATTTATGAACATTATGGAAATGATTTTATGTACCATTGTTTGTTAGTTTACCATGTTATCATTACATGATGTAGAAAACACAGAACTTAAATTAAGCAGACTGTAAGTTTGTTTGGCTTCTGAATTGTTTACCAGACTTATGTAAGTAATTGTCAGTTTTATATATTTTTTGATTTATGTAAGTAATGGTCAGTTTTATATATTTTTTGATTTATGTAAGCAATGGTCATTTTTTTATAATTTCTTGGAACTAAAAATACAGCTAGTTCTATTTTCAGGAAAAGCATTAAAAAGAAATTCATTCTTCCTTTGTTGAAATAAACTAGTATTTTCTTGTTTTTCCATAAAGTGAACAAGTAGTTGACGAAACACCAAAGAAAATAGGGATGGTATTTAAACACTATTTTTAGCAAGTTGTAAAGTTTTTTTTGTGCTTTATCACATAAGAAGGCAAAAATGTTTAACTTCCAAGAAATATACTTGAGCTACACTTACTTCTCAATATTTTGGTCTGTATCTGACTCGTTGAATTCCAATCTTTCGCGCTTCTTTTCATATACAAAGATGATAGCACATAAAACAGCCACCTCTGCACAAATTCCCAAAAATGGCCAAAGTGCTCCAAGCTTGTCTGAAACATCAGATTTTCCTAAATATCTTAACATAACTTAATCATGTCTATATTAATACTAAGATGCCAATAATGTTTCTCATTCTATCAAATTTCATCTGACTAGCATGAAGTTCACCTTAAACATTCCATGATGCTTGTACCACTACATAGTATATGTACCGGCCATAGTACATAGTATATGTACCAGCCACAGTACATAGTATGCGTACCACACACAGTACATAGTATATGTACTGGCCACAGTATATAGTATATGTACCACACACACTACATAGTATATGTACCACACACACACTACATAGTATATGTACCACACACACAATACATAGTATATGTACCACACACACAATACATAGTATATGTACCACACACACTACATGGTATATGTACCAGCCAGACAGTACATAGTATATGTACTACACACAGTACATACTATATGTACTGGCCACAGTACATGGTATATGTACCAGCCACAGTACATAGTATGTGTACCACACACAGTACATAGTATACATACCGGCCACAGTATATAGTATATGTACTAAACACAGTATATAGTATACGTACCACACACACTACATAGTATATGTAACGGCCATAGTACATAGTATATGTACCAACCACAGTACATAGTATACGTACCAGCCACAGTATATGGTATATGTAGCACACTCACTACATAGTATATGTACCAGCCACACAGTACACAGTATATGTACCACACACAGTACATACTATATGTACTGGCCACAGTACATAGTATATGAACCAGCCACACACAGTATATAGTATATGTACCACACACAGTACATACTATATGTACCAGCCACACACACAGTACATACTATATGTACCAGCCAAACACACAGTACATACTATATGTACCACACACGATACATGGTATAAGTACTAGCCACACACAGTACGTAGTATATGTACCATCCACTTAATGCCCACAGTACATGGTACATGTACCATCCACAATGTGTGAAACACTTATTGGCCACAGTACATAGTATATGTACCATCCATAATGTGTGAAACACTTACTGGCCACAGTATGTGGTGCATGTACCAGTTGCAGCATGTGAAACATGTACCAGCCACAATGTATGAAGCACAAACCAGTCACACTATGTGAAACATGTACCAGCCAGAGTACATGGTGCACATACTAGAGCAATACATGGTACATGCACTGGCTACAGTACCTGGTACATGTAATGTCCACAGTACGTAATACATGTACCAGCCACAGTACGCAGTCCATGTACCAACAATGATACATGTTGCACTTACACGCCTTATGATCTGGTACATGTACCGACCACGGTACATGGTACACTTACATGTCTTAGTATCCATTACATGTACCAACCATGGTACATGGTACACATAACTGCCTTAGTACCTGGTACATGTACCTACCTTAATATCTGGTACATGTACCAAATCACAGTATATGCTCACAACACAATAAGTGATGTATGTAGTAACCAGAATGGAAGAAAAAAAGAACACTAGAATAGTTATTAGAATACGAAAAGTAATACAGGTAATCTTCGATTCTCAAATATTTTTATTTTTGTATTAAATACTTTTAAAAACAGCTTGTACAAGTATACTGTAAAGTCACACAAAAGTAATACAGGTAATCTTCGATTCTCAAATATTTTATTTTTCTATTAAATACTTTTAAAAACAGCTTGTACAAGTATACTGTAAAGTCACACAAAAGTAATACAGGTAATCTTCGATTCTCAAATATTTTTATATTTCTATTATATACTTTTAAAAACAGCTTGTACAAGTATACTGTAAAGTCATACATTACTGAGGAATGGGAAGTTGGACATATGATTAAAATAATCTACATTTACTGACCTTTAACTCTGACCAGGATGGTGGTTGTAACATTGTTCACTCCATTCGTTGCTTCACAGGTGTAGTGAGCTCGATCATCATAGTCCAATTGTTCTATGATAAGTTTGGCATTAGGAACTCCTCTGTCATTAGCTTCAAACTTAATACGTACGTCTGAAGTATTCAGAGAATTCCCATCTATTTAAAATATAAATTATTCACCCCAGGCTTGTACACATCAGATACACATAAAGAAGGTTGTAGCACTACCACATTTCTGGAATGTCTTAGCTGTAAACTTTACCAACTTACATTTGTAATGACAGAAAAGCATGAACTGTCTTCTGACACATACATCTCATCCTATTACAGGCAATAATCCTCCTTCTCATCAAAAACTGTACTTTGAACAGAACAAATTAAAATATACAAAGTTATTTTCAAAACATCAAAGAAGTCATTGTGTCACTAGTATCTATCATAACACAAGTTAAGGACTAATGCAGGGCAAGCTCTAATCTTATTACACACTTCAGTTTATATATCTCATTTGAAGCTCTATCATATTATCATAAACTTCCTCTTTTAAAGAAAAATTCCTTCTATTTTGTTTTGCTTTTTTTATGTGAGAGAAAAAACAAAACTGGCAAAATTTCTCAGTGCTTTACTAACTAGTTATTAATCTATTATAAAAAAATTTTCTTCCAGAAATTTGGATTTTTTAAGTAATATATTTTGTAAATATTAAAATAGGATATCTACTTATTAATAATATTACAATTTTGTAGAAAAAACAAATTATAATTAAATTCAGTAAAACTGAGATTATTCAAAACTAACTGAAATTACTCACTGTGACTCATTCTTCATTTCAGGTTAATGTATACAAATAAATAAACTATGCTGATTTCAATTTCTAGTAGAGTAATCAAGTCATTGATATTAACAGTGTGAAAATAGAATAACCTTGGCTCTTATAAAGTTTAGTGTTTTTTATCAACACTGATAATAGATTTAAATTAAACATCTTTTTACAGATACATGAAGAAGACATTTAACTAAAATATTCTTAAATACACTAAAGGCACATATACAAGAGAAAAAACAATTTTAAATTTTCACAAGTGATTGAGAAAAACAAATTTCCTTAATAATCACATCAGATAAAGAAGAATCCAGGTAAAGCTCTCAAAAATTAAATGTTTTATGGGTACAAATAAAACTCAGACTAGATCTGGAAAATTCTTGACATTTAAATAAAACAAAACTGAATCTTCAAATGTCATCCTTAAAATTGAGAGTAAAAATCAAAAGAAAATAAAACAGGTTTTGTAACATTTAAAAAAATTACCAATAAGCTTTCAACCCTCTCTTTAGCCAACAGTTCATCAGTGAGGATTGTAATGTGGTAAAAACATGTTTTAAACATACTTTATATCGCTGTATACTACTTAACATACCTTTCAACCAAGTGACTATTGGTGCTGGGATTCCTTTCACATTACATGGTAAGACTAACTTGTCTCCCTGAAGAAGGTTCAATGAACTATGAAATACTTCTACAAACTCTGTACGAGCTGTTGGATAGGACATTTGATTTTCAGTCATTTACAGAATGATCTAACACACAATTCAGATATATAACACAAATACCAAACAAGCCTTCATTGTAACCCAAAAACTGATCCTTTAAACATTCATTAAAAACAACAACATAAAATTAGTTAAGACAGAAAACAATAAACAGTATAGATATATTTAAGTACCAAATCTCTATTTACAACAAAATATACTTTTGGACTATTTTAAGTGTTAGCAAAGTCACTAAACTGCTTTCACAAAAATCCATCAAGTAGAGGCCAAAAGAATGATACTGGTAACAGTTAAATCATTTTCAGTACTCTGTAAATGTAGCTTAAACAAAAGCAAATTAGGTCAAAAAATAGTTGATAAATAATTATCTTATCTTCGACACGGTATCTTTTCAAACAATATGAAACAAAGATAAATAAATATTCAGTCATAAGGCAGTTAACTCAACATGTAAACATGAAAAATAAATATCCAGTCACATGGCAGTTAACTCAACATGTAAACATGAACAATAAATATCCAGTAACAAGGCAGTTAACTCAACATGTAAAAATGAAAAATAAATATCCAGTCACAAGGCTGTTAATTCAACATGTAAATATGAACAATAAATATTCAATCACAAGACAGTTAACTCAACATGTAAACATGAACAATAAATATCTAGTCCCAAGGAGATTAACTCAACATGTAAACATGAATAATAAATATTCAATCACAAGACAGTCAGCTCAACATGTAAAAATGAAAAATAAATATCCAGTCACAAGGCTGTTAATTCAACATGTAAATATGAACAATAAATATTCAATCACAAGACAGTTAACTCAACATGTAAACATGAACAATAAATATCTAGTCCCAAGGAGATTAACTCAACATGTAAACATGAACAGTAAATATCTAGTCCCAAGGAGATTAACTCAACTTGTTAACATGAATAATAAATATCCAGTCACAAGGCAATCAGCTCAACATGTAAACATGAACATCTAGTCACATAAAAGTTAGCTCAACATGAAAACATGAACAATAAATATCTAGTCCCAAGGAGATTAACTCAACATGTAAACATGAATAATAAATATCCAGTCACAAGGCAGTTGGCTCAACATGAAAACTTGAACAATAAAAACTTTTTCCTGTATATATATATAATTGTAGATAAGAAACTAATTTTAACACACATGCTCTAGCATTTCTTCTATTTCTTAGTTAAGTTTCTTCTTTTAATTAAGATAAAAAGTAATTTTAATACCATTATGACAGTTTCTTTTTATACTTAACACAAAATCTGGCTTATTAAACTTTTTTCTTAAATATATAAGATCGTAATTAGCATATGCACACCAATTACCCAATGTTTTTGATTAAAATTAAATCAAAACCTAAACTTCAGCTCAAGTTACATTCATATTACAAATTTCATGGCAGGATGAACTTCACAGAATCACCTTGATATGAAAAGAAAAAAATAATATAAACAACATACATATAGTACTCACAGTTACAAAAAACTAACTGTCTTCAATCTATGAAATGTACATAAAAACATCCATTGTTAGGAAAAACACATCTATTAATGTTTTATGTTAATGCCAAAAAGCTGATAATAACATGGTAATTTCAACTAGCTGATTATGATAAGGTAATGTCAACTAGCTGATGATAATATGGTAATGTCAAAAAACTGATGATGATATGGTAATTTCAACAAGTTGATGATAACATGTCAATGTCAACAAGCTGATGATGATATGGTAATTTCAACCAGCTGATGATAAAATGGTAATTTTAACAAGTTGACGATAACATGTGAATGTCAACAAGCTGATGATGATATGGTAATAAAATTTTCATCAATCATTTTGAACTCATATAAAGATATTTGACGTTATTAAACCACAAAAATATGGGAATTTTCGTGTGGTAATCAAAAATCACCATTAACGAGATAAACATTTTCACTTTGGTCCTTTCCTGGTAATGTCCAGCTGAAAAAAATGCAAATGTATTTTAGTATCTATCAAGGTCACATAAAAAAGTACCCCATTCATGATTGTGATTCAACTGAACAAACCACTACAGTTCTCGTACCCCATTCATGATTGTGATTCAACTGAACAAAACTCTACAGTTCTCGTACCCCATTCATGATTATGATTCAACTGAACAAAACTCTACAGTTCTTGTACCCCATTCATGATTGTGATTCAACTGAACAAAACTCTACAGTTCTTGTACCCCATTCATGATTGTGATTCAACTGAACAAAACTCTACAGTTCTCGTACCCCATTCATGATTGTGATTCAACTGAACAAAACTCTACAGTTCTCTACTAAACAAAACAAGAAAATCTTCCATTTTGTCAGGTTTAATGTAAGTAAATACAAAACAGAAGCTCACACAAACTGTTCTAGATTTTTTGTTTTCACTTAGGATTTTATATTCTACACATTCACATCCATGAAAACTTATAATATTTATTATTTATTTTGTCAGTAAATATCCTTAATGAGTAGATCATTAAAATTCAGTGTAATTTCACACAAACATTGCACCAGTAAGCAGTAAACTGTTGCTCAATAACTTAACAGTTGCTGTAGTAAACATGTACATATAATATGTATATACACACTCTAGGAATTAAAAAATGGAGAATTTCTGTCACGACTTTCGTACAGCAGACAAGACACTAAAAAGACTTACTGCGAACTATTATAGTAGCATTAATATTGGCGGCTGTCACAATACATGTGTATTCTCCAGTATCATTTTCAGTAGTTGTTTTCACAATCATGGAGTTGTTTTCTGAGAAAATCTTGATCCTATCATCATCGTCACTATCCAAAATGGATCCATCCTTGTACCTGAAAGCACAGTTGGAATAATAATACAAATACAGGTGTTTTTAAGTTACCTGTATTCTTATCATTTAATTAAAATATTTGCTATTTTTTTAAGGGTTGTTGTGTATGTAAACAAAATTACATCAGGGCAAGAAATAGTACAGAACAAACCACACCAAATCTCATCAAACAGAAAAAAGTGAAACCACAAATAATACATACAACAAACTTTTCTTTAAGATTAAGCTGTACTTGCATAAATCATAATATCTCCTAAATGGAAAGGTTTCATAACATACAACAGAATAAGTATCATTTGCATGTTTATTGGAGAGTTTATTATGGCATACCTGGTATGTGTTGTGGCAAACTCAAAAGTAGTCCAAAAAATAATGTATTTTGTATAACAAAAAATTACATGCACAAAATATTTTAATAAAAATCTATAAGATTTTTCATTTCTGAGTAAAACATTTATATAACTAGAACATGATGCCATAAGCTATTCCTACCATACATTAAAGGTTGAGCCATTCCTCGCATTCTATACACACTGTGCTATTCCTATCATATTACACATGATGTGTCATTCCTGATCAAATTCATCATATTTTTTATTCTAACTGAGTACCCCACCCCCAAGTATGAGAATTATTGTGTACTACTTAGTTGAAAATGTATTGTTTTTCCTGGAAAGAATATTGAATAGTCAAGAATGTAGATTCAAAAATTGATTTGTCCAAAAATTATGTTCCGTCCCTTCTCTCTTCAGATACTAGGTTTAGTTAAAATTAGAATAATGATTATACATGATAAGCTAATACTACTTAATTAGAATAAGTTATAATTTATTCATGAAGTTTGAAAGCATGAAAATATTAAGAAATATTTAATATACTCTGTGCTGGACAAAATGTATTAACAATCAGAAACTTTTTGAGATTCCACATTACACTCAAAAAGTTAGATAATCATTCACCAAACTTACACTCTGCATTAGTGAAAACATCTTTTGAGGACAATAACAAACTAAAACTGATACATACAAATACTAGTTTTGACACATTTGTGCATCCTTTTTAAGTCTCATTTTGTGACACAGGAATGTGTCAAAACTAGTTTCTCTAATTGTTTAGGCATGAAAGGTGAAAGACTTTCGAAATATCGTCCTTTACACTTGTGTTTCTACAACAGACAGTTGTCATCCATTCATCTAAGTTTCATCATAGTTTCTCTGATATTATCTCTTCTGTAGCTTGTTCCATTTACTGTGTTTCATCATGTCTTGATGTTTGCAAAAACAGGAAGCTTGAACAAAATTTCTTCAGTTTATTTCATCTCCATGTACAAATTTTAGAAAGACAAGACAAACAAATAAAATGAAATCCTACATAATTAAAAAACTCACCAAGTTACAACTAAAGTCAAGTCTTCAGTTGTGTTACACATTAGTTCTAAAGGTTTTGGAGGTTTGATAATAATCCCCTGTCCTGGAACTTCTTCATTAGTGTGAATCATGGAGGCTAATACGTTGAAAAATATTTCATATAATGTAATTTCACATATAAACTTCATACAGTTGCATATAACATACACAAAACATGCATTAACCCTAACATGGATTAAATATCAGTAGATACAACAAAATTTTGACATTTTCACTTCCAATATATTTAAAATACTTAAATAATTTTTTCTTATATTCTTTCAAAAATATATATATATTACAGATATAAATGTCTCTACAAATTAAAAATATAAATTGATGATTAATATTATACTACACAAAGTTTCAACATTTAAATCCTGCTTCTACAATTATTTGGTTTTATCTACAATGTGCACATAGTTTTTATACAAAAATAATTTCTACAGCAAAATCATTGAAAGTTCCTTTTTAACTACAAAACTCATTTGAACACTGAGAATACTTTAAATTTGTTTGCTGTCAAATACAAAATTGACTGTACACTGTCAGTTCCTTAACTTTACTTGTTAACTAAAACACTGATTGGAAGTTGTGAATATTAATATATAGAAAGAAATACATTAACTAATTGATATTCAATTCTGATCCAACCAAGCTACCTACATAGATCAGACCTAAACATATACACCTAGTAATGATCATAGTTAATTAAATATAATATTCAAACTACATTACTTAGAATTAATATGAACTTCTGATCAGAGCCAGCTACGTACTTGAAGAGAAACTACAAATACCTGGCAATCTGTATAACTAATTAAATATACTTTTCTCATGTTTCTACTTATAAAGATTAGAATGTATTGTTTCATCAGTTATGTACCCTTGTTGTTAATGATGTTTTCAGCTACAATTTCAATAATATCTTACAAGATTTCAGCCAGCTTAGTCCTATATACATACATTAAACTACTAATGCAAAATAATCTCTATAACAAATGCATAATAATAAAAATATAAAGTAATGCCATTTGATATATCACATAGTAAAACCAATACTATTAATGATAGTAAAAAACAAATAATATAATCATGATGTTAGAAAAACATGTAGGTTCAAGAAATCTTGAAAGAAATGAATAAAAACCCTATAACCTGAGGGCTTTCAAAAGGAGGACCTTTCTTCTTCAGGGGCAAGATTTGAATGGTAGTTTAATCAAATGAGTGATATATATAAAAGGAGTTTAGTGAAGTCATGAAGGTCATCCAGTTTTCCAGGAAATGTTTATACAATATAATATACCATACTTAGAGAACATAGAGACACTAGCTGTTGGCTTGAACTATTGTCAAAGAAGTAAATTTCTTTGAAAAATATAATATAACATGCCTAGTTTTTCTCCAATCCTCCCTAACATATTTTTTAACCAATGAAAACTTGTTAACAACTCCTACAGTCTAATGTTAGAGGAGAGTGAAATCTGTGACAATTTATGCAACATGTTACTGTTTAAACTGTGTTGAGTTTGTAATAGTAATTTTCCTATAGTACAATCAAAAACTAATGTTTATGAAGATACAAAATACTAGGTAAAAAAAATAAAATAATATCTGAACCATCCATGAAAATATGACAATATTAGGTGTAAGACAAAGAAAATAACATGCTAAACATACTATGTGATGTGTCTAACAGTTTCACTGTTTTTTAATTAACCAATAACACTTAACAAACACATACAGGAAGGAAAGAATGTTAAATTTTCTGTAAAAGATAAAAACTAGGCATAAAAAGTCTCTAGAAAGTTCAATAAAACAATAACACTTCAAAAGAAAAGTTACAGCACTTGTTAATAAATTCAAGAAAGTAATTCTCAAAAATTAACTGAACTAAACTAATGATGTAATGTCATACTATATAGAGAACTTGTATATAGCTAATATAATTAACTATATATATGAGCTTAGACTAATTGAACTAAACTAATGATGTAATGTCATACTATATACAGAACTGTTATATAGCTAATATTAACCATATATAATATGAGCTTAGACTAACAGGAGGTAAAGCCAATGGTGGTCAGTTTGTTCACTATATATACAGTCTATATGTACTATCAAGACGAAACCATAGAACAACACTAAATATCTTTTGTTGCAGAACCAAATTTAACACCATGTTAAGAGCTACATGGAAGAAGTTTAACTCCCAGGAATCCAGAGTTAACTTTAAAAGAAAGCATCTGCCATTCCAAAACAACATCTTGAAGAGTTAAATCCAAGCTAGGAAAACAAGCATCCAGAAAATTAGTTTGAAACACCAAAGACAGAAAAGATTTGTACAATAGTATATTTGCTAACTATGGTCATGTATGCATATATATATATATACACACACACACCTAGATTTTATCTTCATAATAACTTATTTTTATGACCAAGTGATTCTGGTTGGAATTCTTTGTTGAAAAATTTAAGTTTCTCATATGAACTGCAACAATATAAACCTTTTTTTTTCTTTGTCCTTTCCAACATTACATTTATAGCCACAGGTGCAAGACTACTAACAATAACATGATTAAACACTTAAGAACTTACTAAATGAACCCCATTTTTCAGCACTTGACACTTTGTCTATGTAACACTAACAGACACTAGCCAACCAAAATGCTCAAAACTGTCAGTGATCATTTCAAAACATATCCCATAATGCATCAAATGAACAATACCTTTCTCAACCTTACACCCCTAGCTTTAACTCAGTTTAAGAAAAACGTTATTTGTGTGCTTCCCTATTTCATTTACGTTTTTACACAAGATAAACTTAGCGATAACTGTAGATAAACTATGTAGATTTGACTGAGATATGGCTTTATGTGAAACAAATGCTGCCTCTTGGTGTATTCATTACACTACAGATGAAAATTAAAGACGTAGAAATACATCGCGAATGAGGTGCTAAAGATATTTACAATATTTTACACAGATACGTCCATTTCTGTGCTCTAGCTGATAGTGATACACGTTATCAGTAAACTGGCATATTAACCCCAGACCGTTGTTTTGTCTGGCTCTAGGCCTAATTGTCAGACTAGCTTCGTTCTATGAGTGTAATTATGCCATAACCACCATGTCATTTCTCACTAGTATGATAATTGGACCTTGAGATATTTTACTTTTAGTTATAATTCAAATACTTCGTTTTCTTTTTCAACAATGAATGTAACCCAACTGGAGAAACTTTTGAATACTGCTCTGTGACTTATATCTGTAACAGTGTAACTTGTAAGTGATCTTTATGACTTATCATCTTGACATTTTCCTTTGTTTGAGCCTTTTCAGCTAAGATGATAAAAAAAAAAGCGACACTGATGGTTTTAAGTTTAAGTTCGAGTAGAAGTAAAAACAATTAATACTATTAATATTATCTCAATGAGGTTTGTGTAACTGTTTGGCTATTCCTTTAAAATTATGTAAATGATTTGAGTTTATCACATTCACACTTCGAAATAACAATATAGAATCATACCGATGGACAAAAATATTGATTTGTGTTATTAATAGTAATACTATATTATTGTGAGATAAATACTTAGCAACTCAGAATTAGCCTTTATAAAAATTATTCACCTAAGGAACGAAAAAATGCATTTACCAATCCATAGATTACATTATTTTTCACCCAAAATTTCGATCTTTTAAACTTTTTCTCACCTGTTTCACCTCGAGGCACTTCATCATTGTTCAAGCTCATTTCAAGCCTACTTCCACGCACAGAGATGAAAGTGAAGAATATCCACAGAAATTTCAACAAAAACGTAGAATCCATCTTATTTGAAAAAGTATGAGTGACTATCGGAATTTAAATTCTGAATAAGCTAGACACAAACCTTTCCTAACAGCTTCGCTTGTTAAAACAAATGCCTATTTCGTAGGTATTTACTGTCTTAAAATTTATTAGTTGGAGTATTGGATTGACCTTCGATATGCCGATCGATTGACACAGCGTCAAAACAACATGCACCCTCTCAATCGTATAATACCTTGACGTTAATCCATAATTTAATAACTGGTTTTTCTGGTATAACAACACAGTGATCATTATTATTATCTCACAAACATAATTCGAAAACCCATATTTACTTTTCTAAAGTTTTATCATTTTAAATATTTGAAATTGATAAAAGTATTATATCAGTGTAAAATGGCAATGTTAGTTGTTAAATAAGGTGGTAGTCATACGCTGTTTTCTCTCTCTCTCTCTCTTTTATATATATATATATATGTGTGTGTGTGTGTGTGTGATATGATGAGCATTTTATCTTTCCTATTTGGATATAAATATTGTCAAAGATCCATAAAACATTATGAATATACTTGTGTAAGACAGAAAACTGTTCAATAGTCAGAATTCAAATTCGATGACTTGGAACCCACTTTGAGACTATTAATGGTTGGAGACGACTTGAATGGGTAATGAAGAAGAAAACTTTAATATAAGTTTAACATAACAGCAAATGTAAAACTTATATTAAAGTTTTTCTTCATTACCCATTCAAGCCGTCTCCAACCATTAATAGTCAGAATTATTTTATGAAATCATGTTTTGCATAATTATTTTAATGCACAGGATGAATTATTTAATACACCGATATTGGGTAAAGTGAATTTAAGATTTAGTTCTGTGAATAAAAAACACAAAATTTCATAAATATTTACAGACTTTTATACTTCTATAGAAAAATGAATTATTGAATAATTAATTTCATTAAACCGTTAAAAACTAAAGTAACCATATTCAATATAATTAACTGATTTTCAAACCAAATGGTTCGTTTTGCGAGCGGACTTACCCCTGTTTTTAGAGCAAAGCGACAATGTGCTATATACTGTGTCCACTGTGGGGGGGAATCGAACCCCGAATTTTAGCTCATTTAGTCAAACGATCCGCATAGAAAGACTGAGAGATTAAAAGCTGATAACGATCAGGGCTAGAGAAATTCTTAATCCGGGATTTAAAGGAGGTCAAAGATTATATATATGTTATCCACTCTCTCTTTCATTTTTGGTAGACAGTAAAAGAGTGTTTGTTTGTTTGTTTTGAATTTCGCGCAAAGCTACATGAGGGCTATCTGCGCTAGCCGT